GAGAGTAAATTTGACAGCAATCAGCGAAATAGGAACGCAGAGTTGGAGGGAGCGGGCGAATAATTTTTGGCATGGGCCGCCTGAGCAGCGGACGGCGGATTAGGTGCATCGTGAATTCGTTCAGAAGACCCACAAGTTGCTTATGGAGCATGGGTTCGCTTACTTCGGACAGGTTACACCTAATTTCCCTTAGTGAAAGGCCGAAGGATAAAGTGTTCGGGTGTTCATCAATTCCGTCTGAGGAATGTGCCCCGCATTTGACTTCCATTCAGAATCGTAGTGGCGTATTGGATGCGTACATATTTGAATCTATACAATGACACGCGGTGACCAGCCAATGTACAGGTCAGTGCTTTTACCACCTTTACCCTCCCAGACGAGTCTTTTACCAGTTAATCAACCCTAAAAGGATCGAAGGCTCGGTTGACCAAGGGAAATATCGATAAGAGATTCGGACCCTTGACCATGCGTGTCTGATAGTGTGTCACGGGTGTGGTGCATTAGGAACGAAATCGTCGCGTCGCGGTGAGAGGGGCGCCGCGCGCGAAGGTATGTAGCAGGATGCAGCAGTAGGTAAGAAATACAGGAACAAAAGTACCAATAGTAGAATTATGCATGAAATAATGATCGCATATCGATTGAGCTGTATGAAGAAGGCTAGAGCTGTAATAACGGCGAATGAGTGGTCCGCGACAGCCGCGTGCGGCTAATCGATTACCCAAAATCGTTCCTAACGCCGCTTACCATTGCACTACCTTGCCCTTGCCCTTTCCAAAGTTGCTTAACGAAATTACCTCCTCGTAGCAAGGATAATGGGAATGACGACACGTGTTGTAGAAATGTTTGGCTTGGCATTCACTGGGTTATAGTCAGCGAATTTGATTACCCACATATCAGCAAGCTGCTTCCACGTCTTGACCTCATTATCTATAAGATAGGTTCGCCACACAGCTTGACTTTTAACTTTATATAGGTTTTCATTACCGTACACAGTTATTCAGGTACCGATTGATACTGCACGATTAAAACAAACCTATTTCCCTGGGTTTACTTGACAGAGTACAAGAATCCCTGACCGACACTTCAACTTAATTAGTTTCCGGACCGATCATGCGAGTTCCGCTTCTAGTCCGTAAAGGTCAGAGAGCCTCATTCTTTCTCTACCTCTCCTCCCCTACGTTACTCTAACACCTTTTTTGGAAGCAGGTTCCAGAAATCTCAGCTTACTCGGCCCGGACCTCATCCGTTCCCGTCACGCCGCAAGATTCTGCTCTCTGAAGTGTCTCATGCCGATCTCATCAGATGTCAATAAACGTCGTTTCTTCAGCATTTGGAAAACGCGATGTTCTCTCGCTGTCACTTTGGATCCGAACACTGAGACTGACAGAGTGCTTTGATAGGCTGTTAGCGTTCTCGAAAGTGCACTCTCCTGGCGAACATGTACAGCAGTGATAGCCCGTGCCAATGGGAGGCTCGCTAAATGAATTGTAGAACAGAAGGTAATTGGGAACCCAGTAGCAGCCAGATTCATTCTAGCGATACCATAGACCCGTCTTCAACATAGAGTGAGTTTGAGGCGGGGGAAGAAGTTCTGCCTCGAAGGAAAGTACAGAGCTGATTAGTAGACGGGATGTAACTCAATTATACAAGAACACTAATCCAAACATATGCCATCGATGCCAAAAAATCTCTGACACTTCTCTGACAACAAAAGCTGACCTCTCGTGGAAATCGTCATCTATCGACTTCAACCAGCCAGTCAGTTCATGATGTACTGGTTGGTGTAGCGGGACTCCTTCTTACTCAGGGAGTGCTTCTGTGATAAGTAGCCATGGAAGTTGGTCAGGCGAAGGTGAATAAAGAAGGGAAGTCGAGCAGCTCCAGTCCATATTGCTCTAATTGGCTTCGGACGAACGCCTGATGAGAGGCATCACCTCTCACGGACATAAAGTGCAATATGTTTATGACCTTTTTGTCGATACCATGGCACAAAACGTTGTTTTTTAGTGTCAATCAATCCAATTTGAGGAACGCGCCCCACATTCGTCTTCCACTCAGGATCGTGGCCGTGGCACATTGAATGTGGCCTATTCAATGTCTTGCTGTGGCCAGCCGATGTTCGAAACAGTGCTTTGATTCTCCCAAGCCAGTCTGGTACCAATTAACCGACACTGGAGGGAACGAAGGCTTGGATTGCCTGAGCGGGAAGCGATCCGGGGTTTGAACTCGTGTTCATGCGTGAGATAATGCGCCACTTGCCACTACACCATCTGCGCCGTGCCGGTACCATAGCATATCGTGTAGGAATAGATGGTATATAAAAAATTCTCCAGATCTCTGTGAAAAAATGAAAGTAGAAAGAGTACTTTCCCACCAAATTAGAGAGATAACTTTCTTATCCGGCACATCTCCCAGGTATCAAATCCTAATTGAACCCCCAAAGTTGAGTGGAGAAGGTAGATCAGTCGGAGAGGAATAAATGAACACTTTTACATGCCAGATATTGTTTGTGTCAAAAAGAAGACTCAGGAAGGAAGTCCAATACGCGTGCCTCCATTCAGCGGTTTTTCTTTCCCTAACAAGACAATGCACTCGTTGTTTTCGGCAAGTATATAGCTATGAGCCGCCAATCTCCCCTGTACTCATTCAGCACTATAATTTAGTTTATTGTTCAATTTTTTTTTGGTGGACGCTATCCATTCAGTGCCAGTGTCTTTATGGCCGGAAAGGCTGACTTTCGTAATCCTCTCTACTTCCATTTGAATTCTCCTGTGATGCATACGGCTTTTTGTGATAGTGTCAGTTAATTGCTACGAGCGTCTTGTAGGCTGGAAGAACAATAGGATTGCAGAGCGTTGCAGTCCTATACAAGCTAGTTATCTTCTCAAAGCCATTGCAGTATCTGACCGATGGAAGCTACAGCTCGGTCAAGATGACGGTCCATAACGAGAAAACAATACTGTACTCATGCTCTTGATATGTGCTATTACCGCTAATACTTAAGCAGCACGGTTTTACCACTCAGCCATCTTCTTCTGCTTTCTCGGTACAAATCAGACTAACTAGCTTGACTGCCTTATTTTACTAAAAATTAGCATTGTTGAGGACTAAGATTCAAAAATGACGAGACGTTGGGTGAAAAGGAACGGACACATCGTGACATTGGGAAAATCAAAGTTTTCCAATTCTAAACATTTGAGCTAGTAATGGTTATAAAGGGTGTAGGATAAATTTTTTGGCGTCAATCAATTCCGATGCGTCCGCGCACTGGATTTACATTCGGAATCGTAGTGGCGTCATTAGTGCATATGTGGCCTATACAATGACTTGCGCTGGCCAGCCGATGTACAAGTCAGTGATTTTATCATCCCAGACGAATCTGGTATCGATTTACCGACCCCGCGGGGATGGAAGGCTTGAATGGTCTAGGCGGATATCGATCCGGAATTCGAACCCGTGACCTGCATGGGAGGCAGTGCGCCACTTGCCACTACACCATCTCCACCTCGGAAATTTATTTATTTATTTTTATTTATCCATGGACGCAGCATGACTGCGTGGTAAAACACAACCAACAATGAAACCAGATCATACAATCTTCTCGACAAAGAACGCATCAATTGAGTGTGCTATACTATACTACTAAAACAATGATGGAAACATTTGATAGATATCAATTAAAACAATTACANCTTTGACTAAATTTATGGCTTTTCGACGGAACACCCCGAGAGTCAAGCACATGATATTCTCATCGTAGATTTTATTCAACAAAGGTAGCACTCTAATAGCAAAAGATTTTGCTCTGACTTGTGTTCTCACTATAGGAGACCTTATTTTGACCGTGCTCCCTCTAGTCCCCGATTTCACCAGCTTTCAAGCTGGAAATCTTATAAATACTGTACAAATACTACTAAACCCTGAATCCATATTATTTGTAAAGATATATAATACAAATATACGGAATCAAATTATTGTGGTACCGGATTACTTAAGATTTATAAGAATAGTACGGGATTACTTAAGATTTAGGTTCAGACGTCCATCCCCTGCAGAGGCAATGGTTGTAAGCGAATTAACAGGACTACTATCCCTATAAATAGGAGAAATTTAACCGATTTGTACTGACATTGTTCTGATATGCTACTTGTGGTCTATTTTATTTATGCTTATCCTTCTCTGATTTTCATTCATTTCACTTTGCTCAACGGAGGTGATGTAGCCGCCACGGGTTCGAATCCCGGGTCGATGTTCGCCTAGGCTAAAACAATTTCTGTTAAACCTTCCATCCCTGCGGGGTCTGCTAAAATTGGGAGAAGACCTTGGCTTTGGGAAGGTATGACCACTGACTGACCACCACAAGCCTTTGTATAGGCCACATACGTATTCAATACGCCTCTACGACACTACGTCCCTCAGATGGGATTGATCAACGCCCAAAATTCAATGCTTTTCATTTTCTACCATTTTTTCTCTCTGCACACAACATGGTGATGTATGATTTTTAATTATAAATAGTAGCAGAAATAAAATACTAGTACGTGGGTTACACGATTAGCGTACGCTTCCTCTCTACCATTACCAACTACTGCCATGGATCTAAACCAAGAGGACAGATTTTTGGGAATGATTCGGAAGGAGGAATGGATAAGAACGGAGGGACCGCATTAGACCCTAGAGCTTCTAGATTGTTCCATTAAAATATGGAGAGGAGAACCATGAATTTCTGAGAACGCTGTTATTGATCGACCTCTTCTCCGAAATAAATCTGCTATAAACTCCAATGTTGCACGAAAGAAATTTTCAACCCATTTTTCCTAAATAAGAGGTATACTGTAGATTTTGTAAACTCCACAAAAGACCTATAAGCGTCAACATGCGCACGCTCAAGTAGTTCAATCCAAAGGGGCTGGAGGGCAGCCGAAGGGCAGCAGTTTCATAGTGCGATTAGTTACGATTAGTCAAACCAGTGAAAAAGTTTGTACTATTCACTCTTACAGATGGCATGGTCGTTTGCCGGTCCTACACAGAAAAATTTCCTGACCCAAGCAATCATCCGGTTACGGTCGCCCTGTTTGCTGTACTTTATTCATTTGTCTTTGTGATCAGTTTCGCAGGGAATTTAGGTCAGTTTCGTCTTTCAGTGATTTAAAGACTTACTATCCTTATCTGTTCACCTGATTCAGGAGTTATCTACGCTACCGTACGACATCGGAGTCTACAGACCGTGCAAAATATTTTTATAGTGAACCTGGCCGTTAGCGACGTTATTCTTTGTGTTTTGTCCATTCCGCTAACTCCTGTCACCCACATCGCCAAACAATGGTTTGTTTGTTTAACATTGATCACAAAACTCTATTTATATCGATAATGAGGTAAAAAAAAAA